TACCACATCGGTAATACAAGGGAAGGAACCCTTGTATATTAGTGTCCACCAAGTTTATTAGTACGAGGCTTTTTGGGAAAGACACCCAAAAGTAAATCCGTGCGGGCTTGGCCCAAAGCGGACAATATCGTAATATCGTTCGATTTGGGCCAAGCCCGATTATGACAAGTGGTATAAGAGTCTAGTTTGGTTCGGGATGGTGGACGTCAGCTCGGTGGACCCTCGTTCAGTGACCTCGGGATTTGAGATCTGCTTCTGGTTTGGTGGATCCAGGAGAGATCCACGTTTGGGCTTGGCGGATCAAAGAGAGTTCCGCATTTGGGAAGCAGATCAAAGAGAGTTCTTACTTTGGGAAAATCATTGTACCGAGAAGCCCATCGATACAAGGTGTCTGCGGATCAAGATAATCGTTGAGGCGATGACACAAAGTTCGTGATCCTTGGCTTGAGGGGAGGATTGTTATGGGACAATCCATGTACCACATTGGTAATACAAAGGAAGGAACCCTTGTATATTAGTGTCCACCAAGCTCATTAGTACGAGATCTTTTGGGGAAGACACCCAAAAGTAAATCAGTGCGGGCTTGGCTCAAAGCGGACAATATCGTACTAATTGAGCACCCCGATTTGACAAGTCTCCTGGATCCACCAAACAGACGCGAATCACCTTTGACCCGCCAGACAAACGCAGATCTCAAATCTCGAGGTCACCGAATGAGGGTCCCACCAAACTGACGTCCACCACCCGGAACCAGACTCTGATACCACTTGTCAAAACCGGGCTGCTGCATTAGTACGATATTGTCCTCTTTGGACCAAGCCCACACGATTTTACTCTTGGGTGTCCTCCCCAAAATGCATCGTACTAATTGGGTTAGGTGGACACTAATATACTAAGGTTTCTTCACTTGTATTTCCGATGTGATACTTGAATTGTCCCATAACATAGCGATAGTATGACTTGACAATACAAGTGATGAAAATTCAATTTGTAGTGTTGTCTCTCATATTTAGTTATATTTTCCCAACTTATTATGCAGCATTGGTTATTTTGGCATTTAACTTCACTCTATGTAGTTTTACGCCTGTGGCGCCCTATTTTGGACCATTTTTGTTCCAATTGATATCATTTGGACTCTATCATTGTGAGTTTTGCGTTATGAGAATGTACAGGAAAAATTACACGAGCGTGTGAAATTAGAGCTGGCAAATTACAACTCGATTCTTTGACCCGACCTGAGCACGCTCTAAAAGTAGAATTTTTTATAACCCAAAATCCGAATGATCTGAACTCGATAACTCGTGATTTTTTGGGTCGGGTTGGGTGGGTTAGCGGCTCGACCTTACAATCCGATCCGTTGACCCGACCTGAGCACGCTCGAAAAGTAGAATTTTTTATAACCCAAAACCCGAATGACCTGAACCCGATAACCCGTGCTTTTTTGGGTCGGGTTGGGTGGGTTAGCGGGTCGACCCGTTGACCCGTTCTATTTTATATATCACTCCCAATATGATAAATTCAGTCATAAATTGTTGAGATGTTTAAAAAAATCAACTAAGGATTTGAATGACATGTTCGGAGTTTAAGAATAATCAAATATCATATGTTTCTTCTAGTAGCATTACTCTTGTGATTGTTTTTTGACGATTTGCGCAATTTGTATATCATTTCATTAACATGGGAGGATTTGTGAATATGTTAATTGATATGTGTTAGGTAAACTATTGTCATGCATATGTGAAAATTTGTGTTCTTTAAGAAAATATGAAGCATGTTTGATATTGTTTCTGAGAGCGCTCACAAAACGAAACGACCTGTAACTCGAGCCGAAACCGAATGGGTGGGGTCAATATTTGACCCGAAATCAGCCAACCCAACATGACCCGACCCGTAATCGGAGGCCCCAACCCAAAATTACTTAACCCGACCAGATGGCGAGGTCTATCTGAAACCAAACGGTGATGAAATCAGGTGTATGATGGAAGAGCTAGATAACTTGAGAGTGTTTTAGCAAATAATGGCGGGTCTCCAAATTAAAACTCGCCATTTCCTCTCCATCAATGTTGTCCAATGAGGATTTTTGTGTTAAATCGAAATTAAAGTAAAATTGGATTGGTAAAAATCAAATCATAAAATTGTAGGATTTTAAGTACCAAATACAAATTAAGACACTGAATTAATTAATAAAAAATATTAAATAATACTTAAACATATAACACTTAAAATGACGACTTCTCGAGATAATTTTTGTGAATCAACACAAATATAATTTAAATTACAACAAATTAATACAAATGTAATCCATATTCTCCAGTCATATGTTTTTGCTCCCGTAAGTATTTTTATTGTTTGGTATTGGATGTAGAAGTAGTAGCATCACAGATACTCAGACAAAATTAATGAGCCGTCGAAAGAGTTGTCGTAGTGCAGAGAGTTGAAGTCTTCAGAAGGTAGACAAATAAATTTTGGCTTTCAAACCTTTAGCTTCAATACATCAACAACCTTAGATTCTACAACAATGGAAGAAGTACTTGGGGACGGCTCATTGATACCATTACACCCAAAATTCCAATATTCCTATGAGCGAATAAAATTATCCATAAGCAAGCTTAAATTACCATAATCACATCAAACTTGTTAGATGCTCACTTGAGCAAAAATATTGGATTCCCCATTATCACAACCATGAAGAAAAAAACTAGATTTAAAAAATATGTAATTTCGTGTACGCTTACGTGCTAGGCAACGACTAAATGCCCGATCTACGCCCTAAAAAAAGAATTAAGCATTCATAGTACTTAGAAGGTACGTAAACAGAGCTAGACACGATTAAGCGGTTTGACATAATTAATCAAATTTAGGCATGCTTAAGTGGGCTACCGAGGATTAAAAAAATTAACTAAGCATAAAAATGGTCCAAAAAATCTCCCGACAAGTCATCTATTCGACGTGTCTTTCGCTCCATTTTCCTTCCTCAATTTGGAAATTGGAATCTAATTCTATGTCAAACTTGAACAATCATAGCTCGATCCACAACTTAGAAATTCCAATGGCTTCTTCTTTTATATTCTCATAAGTACCAATGCAATTGAAGCACAAGGCTTCTTATTTGAGGAAGGAGATGATCATGCTACGTACATGTTCAATGATGCGGATGAGGTAGAAGTTTGTGCACCATCGATTATTGTTACATATACTCAGTGGCGTAGCCAGAAATTTGACTAGGGTGGGCAGTGGCGGATACATGGGTGTTTAGGGGTGTCCCGGGACACCCCTAAAATTTGGAGAAACGATTATCCAACCCCGATAGTAGTTTTGTATGGATAAAAAAAATATAATTGGTAATCCGAGAAACCCTTAAATTTTGCAAAACAATTATCCTATCATCGGTAGTAGTTTGCGTATGATTAAAAATATATAAGTAGTACTATGTGTTATTCAAACCTAGGACACTACTATTATTAAACATATTCTCTAGGTTGCAACTCATTTATTGTTTTATTTTAAACACTATGTTATAGTAATAACACTATTCTTTATTCCCAATTATTTTCAAAACCTAACAATTAAACTCATTCGAGCTATCCTTAATTTGAATTGATTTTATAGGTATAGTGCAAGAGTTGAAAGAGTCTTTCAAGTTTGAGTTACATTAGGAACAATGTTAGGAATTGAATATGCGATCAGTTCGGAAATTATTATCTAATATGGTATATTTGCACTAATTAGATACTTTTTTGATTTATGAATTATTTAATTTTTAATTAAATTTAATTTTTGGAAGAGGACACCCCTATAAAAATTTCCTGAATCCGCCACTGAGGGTGGGTCCAACACTAAAAAGAAATCATTCGTAACTTATATTAATCTCTTACGCACGATGTGTTTCGTATTCTGCAAAGTATGAAAATACATTCATCATCCTAACTATCAATGATGTCCCTCTCAATGTAACCAACCAAAAAATCATTCCTAATTTCATCACTCATCTGATTCCGAAGTGTTTTTTCAAGAAGTTCATTGCAAAAATGCTCTTTCAACACTTGTAGTGGCAACATGTAGCAACAATACCAATTTCAAAAGTCGCTATACCAATGAAAACACTCGATGTTTTTTTTACACAACCATAACCCTAGATTGGCACGACAAATTCGACAACAAAGAAATGGACGAACGGGTGGTGGGTAAGAGTTTCCACTACCGTTTGGTTGAAGAGGCAAATTCAACAGGCGATATATATATTTATGATTTCAATTAGGGATTGGAAACTCAAGAATAAATAATTAATTGTGGATCCTTTATTATGTAACTCAATTTTCATAGCTAACTAAAACCAAAATTGTGTAAATAACAAAGACTCTTGCATGGCCGTGGATGGTCTATATGTAATAGGCAAGACAACCATGGTTTGATCATTGGCTTCAGCAAACACGTACATTTAAATTTTTGGGAATCCAAGGTGGTTCCGGGACCCACCCTTCTCTGAATTGGCTCCGCCACTGCATATACTTATATACAATGGTAACTAGTGAGTAGGTTGAGTGCAAGAGCAATCTAGTTATGCTCCTAACAGGTCATTTTGTTAGGAGATACTGATAGGGTTAGATGGGCAGCCACGTCTCCAAGTCACGATCCAGCGGTGGAGGTAGATTGGCGCCAGCATGTGAGGGAGGAGAGCCGAGTCCATCGGCTGGCCCAAGCCTACAGAAAAAAAATGGGGCCCACCAGGCCCCCAAATTCAAAAAACACCACTTTTTTTTACTCAAAACCCTCCCCTCTCTAATCTTTCTCCACCAGACACGTTTTTCCCCTCTCTCTCCAAAAATCAATTGTTTTCACTCCCTCTCTCTTTCCTCTCCCTCTCCCTTTCCTCTCCCGATAACGACGACGGCGGCCAGGTTGGTTTGACGGCGGCGACGGTGCAGACGAAGCGGCGGCAACGAAAGGGTTGGTTGACGGCGGCTAAGGTGCAGACGAAGCGGGCTTATTTTGACAGTGCAGACGAAGCGGCGCGCGACGAAGGGTTGGTTGACGGCGGTCGTTGACGAAAGAACTACTTCGTTGACTGAGGTAGCAGAGTTTTTTTCCCATTTGTTCATGGATACTCATGTTCGTTTGAGTAGATTGAGTTAAGGTTGCATAGCTTCGACTAGATCTGAGTTTTTCTTTTCCTGCATTTTTTTTTTGTGGATTTGACTAGATCTGGGTTGCTTTGTTTTCTGGGTTTTGTGGATATGTTTTGTGTGCGTTCTGGGTTTGTGGATGTGTTTTCTGGATTATGTGGATATGTTTTCTGGGTTTGTGGATGTGACTGGATCTAGGTCTGGGTTGCTTTGTTTGTGGATTTTGTGGATTTGATTAGATCTGGGTTGCTTTGTTTTCTGGGTTTTGTGGATATGTATTGTGTGCGTTCCGATATTAGTTATGTTCGGGCAGGATATCAGTTTTAAATTGCCTGGATAGTTGTTTGATATATCTGGATATTCCTACATTGATATTGGTTTTGGTCGACCATGATATCATTTGTGATTTGCCTAGATAGTTGTTTGATATATTTGGATTATGTGGATATGTTTTCTGGGTTTGTCGATGTGACTGGATCTGGGTCTGGGTTGCTTTGTTTGTGGATTTTGTGGATTTGATTGGATCTGGGTTGCTTTGTTTTTTGGATATGTTTTGTGTGCGTTCCGATATTAGTTCTGTTCGGGCAGGATATCAGTTTTTAATTGCCTGGATAGTTGTTTGATATATCTGGATATTCCTACATTGACATTGGTTTTGGTCGACCACGATATCATTTGTGAATTGCCTGGATAGTTGCTTGATATATTTAGATATGACTTGTTTGATATTACTTCTGATGGTTGGGGTATTCGTTATGTGAAGTCCAGCTGCAATGACAAGAACTAAATCAACTGCAATGAGGACCACATCAGAAGGCGAAACCTTTAGGCCTAAATGTGCCAAACAACAACAACAAAATGAGGACCAAGAAATTGAGGATGAAGAAAGTGATGACCAAGACGATGAGGGAAAAGGAAGAAAAGTTTATTTTAGATTTGTGTAGTGTGATATTGGTTTGTAAAACTGAACTTAGGGTTAGATAATATTTAGGGAAGGATGTTGGTTTGTAGCAAGATGGATAATATTTTGTCAAATGTTGGATATAATTACCAACATAAATTCTTATTCAAAAATATACCGTAGCCTCCGAGAAAAATATTCGTCTTTATGTAGAATAATATCCTTAAAGCTCAGACTAATACTTTTTGTTTGCCAAAGTATATCCTGAAAGCCCAGACTAATATCCTCAATCTCTTTGCCTCTTCACGATTCATCGGTTTGTTTTTCCCTTTAGTCATCAATTAAACACATTTAATCAATTACCCACATTTAGTAATCAATTAAACACATTTAATCCCTGTGAGGTCAAGATATCATCGAGGCGGGAAAAGATCCAAAATCGACATTTTGGAACAGCAATCCCACACTTGAACAAAGAATTTTCTTAAGTACTATTTTTTGTTTGGAAAGTTATAATCGCCATGTCGGAATGACTTTGACTACTAATTGTATCGAGTGTTCTCACTAGTTTTGCGTACTAGAAAACCATAGCAGACCAATATCCGTACACAATAAAAATGATATTCACACCACCCATACCAATATCCGTTCCTCACATAATAAATATCCTCACCTACACAAACTAATATCCATCGCTCAAAGACTAATTTCTAACTGTCTTAGACTAATATCCGACTACACAGCCAACATATCCACACATCTCATACTAATATCCTCCAATCACATAATAATATCTTATCACCACAGACAAAAATCGAACCACCATACATTGTGTTCAAAACCATTTCCACATTATCGTCTTCTAAACCTGAAACCAAAACTCGAACCCTGTACCTGAAACCCTAACCCTAAACACTAACACAAAGCTTGAACCCTAAACTCTAAACCTCAACCCCAAACCCTAAACCCCAACCCCCTAAACCCCAAATGCGAATCCTAACCCCTAAACTCCAAACTCTAAACTGTAAACCCTAATTCTAAATCCTAAACCCTTACACCAAACCCTAAATTGATATAAGCATATACAACAAAGATCCAAACCACCCAGACTATTATCGGACCGTATCAGACTAATACCTACCACACACAGATAAATATCTTACCACCGAAAACTAATACCCACTACATATAGATTCATATCCAAACATCCCAGACAAATAGTTGAAAACATGAACTAATATCAATTCAAACCAAAGCTAATATCAGAACCACCTAAACTAATACACATTCTTTGCAAAAACAAATACAAACACCACACAGTTTAATATCCGACTACAAGACTAATCACTAAATCATAAACCCTAAACCTTCACTCTCCTACTATTATTGTTTCATAGGCCTTCGGCCTATGGGCCCTCGGCGGGCAGCCCTAATATCCCACCGCCTAATACCAATATCGAGTCAGCCCGTAATCAATATCTTCACCATACAGACTAATACCCACCACACACAGATTAATATATGGATGTCTTAGCCTAATATCCGGCTACACAGAAAAAATATCAACACATCATGAACTAATATCCACCAATCACATAATAATATCTTATCACCACACACTAAAATTGATCACCCTACATTGTGTTCAAAATCATTTCCACAATATTGTCTTCTAAACCCGAAACCAAAACTCAAACCCTATACCTGAAACCCTAATCGTAGACACTAAACACAAAGCTTGAACCCTGAACCCTTAACTCTAAACCTCAACCCCAAAGTCAAATCCTAAATCATAAACTCCAAACCCTAATTCTAAACCCTAAAGTCAAAACCCTAACACTAAACCCTAAATTGATGTAATCATATACAAATCAGTAGATAAACATCCACACAGAACAAATATCCAAACTACCCAGACTATTATCTCACCTTAGCAAACTAATACCCACCATACACATATTAATATCTGTCCATCACATACTAATACCCACCTCACACAGATTAATATCTGACCATCGCAGACTAATACCAACTACACATAAACTCTAAACCCTAATCGCTAAACACTAAATCCTTAACCCTAAATCCTAACCGCTAAACCGTAAATTGGTGTAATATGGTTGGCTAAGTGTGTGATGCTAGATGCTAAAATAAACAAAGGATCACATCTGAATAGTTACCAGAAGTGCCCCAATATCCGTACTACATAAAAAAATTTCCACATCACCCAGACTAATATTCATTCCTACCATAAAAAATATCTGCAACACCCAGACTAATATTCGTTTTGCCCATAATAAATATCCTCACCAACCCTAACTAATATCCATCGGTTACAAACTAATATCCTGCTACACAGCCAAAATATCCACACATCGCCAACTAATATCCTCCGATCACATAATAATATTTTATCACCACAGACAAAAATCGACTACCCTACATTGTGTTCAAAACCATTTTCACAATATTGCCTTCTAAACCCGAAACCCTAATCGCTAAAAACTAAATCCTTAACCCTATTAGAATATCCAAAAGTCCAAGAAAATTTCGAAAACATGAACTAATATCAACTCAAACCTAAGCTATACCCTAAACCCTTAACATAAAACCGTAACACAAACTCTAAACCATAAAACTATTATTATTTAATGGGCCTTCGGCCCATGGGCCCTCGGCGGGCAGCCCTAACTAAGGTTGCAAGCCTTACGTGTTAGGACTTCCTAGTGTGTTTAATTTCCTAGTGTGTTTAATTTGATGTAAGAAACAATATTCCGCCTTCGGCCCATGGGCCCTCGGCGGGCAGCCCTAACTAAGGTTGCAAGCCTTACGTGTTAGGACTTGATAGTGTGTTAGTTTTGATGGAATACACAATATCCATTACATCACAAACTAATATTCATTGCATATAATATCAGTTCATGAAAAAATAAATATTCATACTGAAAAACAGATAAATATCTACACAAACAAGCATAGATAAATATCACAAATTAATATCCAACCATTTAGCAATAAATATCCTCTATAGCCAAAAGAAATATTCATTGTAACCACACAAGTGAGAAAAAAAAAAAAAAAAGGTGTTGAGAAATAGAAAAGTGGTGGACCCAGCGCCACTTTTCATTCCTTTCCCAATCCCGCCCAAATTATGGTGGGGCCAAAGCCACCTTTTCAGTTTTGCGGCTGGGCCGGCTCATCTCCAAGTCCAAGATTAGCTCACTTAAGTGAGCCATTACAAGCCTTCAACCCTCCTCCCTTGGATCACTTGTGGGCCGACGTGGCTATCATCTCCACCATGTCAGTATATGCTAACAAGTTCCCCTGTTAGCAGTTTAACTTTTTCGGTGCAAGAGTGAGAGAGATCCATGATAAGAACTCGAGATTGACAATGATGAAGAAGGGAAGGATGGGAAGGATATTATTTTTGGGATGATAAAGATGAAGTGGTGGTTGGACGGACCTATTTGGGTAATGATGAATGAACTAGTTTTTAAGTATTTGTTGTTTGATTGTTTTTATGAACTTGTTGTTTTTGTGAACTTGTGTTTCAAACATTTTATGAAGTTGTGATTCTATAAACTTGTGCTTTTAGAAAATCATGGCATATTCTGATTGTTGTTGAGGGTTGACTAATTTATAATTAATTAAAATTTTAAATTGAATATAAGTAAAAGAAAATGAAGAAAACTAACTATAGGATTACAAACTACCTCAACAACAACTTCTTGGATCACCACTCAGCCACACAGTCGCTCACCAACACGGAGGATAACAAAGAAGAAGAGTCGGTTTTTGGAAGTACAGAAAACTAATTCGTACTCTCTCTGTCCAAACAAATTAAAAGACAGACAAACCAAGGGTGAGAACAACGATCCACCCGATCAGATTGAAGAATAATGAGTCTTAAATACTCTCATTAAATTTTAGGACGATCTAACGGTTCGTTCTCCCGTTGTGCTCTCTTTAACAGGTTGCTCTGCTGTAGAAATGAAAAATCTTGCAACCTTTTAGTTTCTCTTCTCTCTTTTTAATTCTTTTCACTTTAATTGCTGTAACTCCTCTCCATTATATCAATAGAGGATCTTCTAAAAATGACATTTGAACTCCCAAAAAATCTAAAATATCACAACTCAAACCGATTAGTCCAACCAACATATGAGTGGACCAATCCAACACTACTCAACATTTATTTAGCTACTAACGTCTTCTTAAACCTTAAATTCACAGCTGAATAGTACAATACACACAACAATTTTTTTTACCTCACTAAGCCTCGTGTTCCACTCAACAATTGGATAAGCAAATCTCAACAACAATCCCACGTGTTTTGAGAGATCAAAGGTAGTTTTTTTTTGGTGTTGGGTGGTTGTGTCTCTATGGGATGCATTTTTCAGTTCACTTTTGCGTGCTGCTGCAGTCCTTGTGTTGCTTGTGCTTATTTAATTAAGTATCGGTGTTTGCTGTAGAGTGGAGAGATAGCTTAGCATACAATTTGAGGCTAATAAGTTCTACTGAAAGTCTGAAACTTGTTTAGTATTGTTGCTTTTCTTGTATATAACTCCGGATCAAGAATCAATTTGAGTTGTCGGAATAGGTTCAATTATAAATTATGTATATAATTTATTAAGACAAATTCTCAAATGAAAGCCAACTAAGAAGGGTTTGAAGTTTCCACATGCATCATAATACCATGTGCTTAGCATATGATGGTTTTTGGGAATCGAACACATGACACATCGATCATAATTCATAAAAAGCTATATGGGGAGTTCTACAGTACCCAGGGTGAAATTCGGGGTACCGTATACCTTGAGTAAGAAAACGCTATCCAGAACTTGAATTGACTGATCTTTCGGACATGATACTATACTCTAACCCTTAAAGATCAAAATCTAGGTCTTAATTCTCTAAATCTTATACCCCAAGATCAATTTAATTAGAAACAATAATCGACGGTTATGATTCGTCCAAATATAGGCAAAAAAATCAAGCACCATCTTAGGATTTATAGTTTATAATTTAGATAATTAGGACCTAGGGTTCACTATTTTAAGGGTTAGGGTATAGTATCATGCCCAAAAATCCTGCTAATTCGAGGTCTAGATAGCGTTTTCA